TTATTCTGTACCAAATGATGTGTTATGCAATCTTTTTAAGCTGTGAATCTCTTTGAAAACGAAGAAAAAACCGAATAAATTGCCGTGAAAAGGTGCAGAATTGCTTGAACGTATTGTAATGGTATTTGAAACAGTATTTGGAAGTCTAAGAACAAGTGTCTAAAAATTGAAACAAGTAATTCTGATTTACTGTTTACAGCATGGGTTTTTTGTATTAAATTCCTCGTGTTAAGGAAAAATAAGTGTTTTAAGACAAGTGGTTCAGGGTAGTATGAGGAGTTAATTGTATGAACTGGAACTAATGCTAAAGTTTATTTGCTGCAGTAATGGTATGACGTAAATTTGCCGTTGGAATTAACCAGAAGTTTTTTGATGCTTTTAACACTTGGAATATTGAGTGTTTTTATGCGTTTCCTGAAAAATATTGCCAGCCGTTCAACGACTGTCTTCTACTGTCTCTCCTACAGTAAAAAAATTTTAATTTTATTAGACTTTTATCAGACTGTTTGATGTTATGGTACTCCAAAAAGTTCTTTTTTGCAGGGGCAAAAGACTGCGCCTCTTAATTTGGATAATAAAAATGGAATAAACTAATCGTTTGAAAAAAAAGAAGAACGAAAAAGAAGAAAGTTATTTTGTTTTAAAAACTCATTTGTTTAGAACTATATATAAATTTGGAAACAACAACAGGGAAAGTTTTTTGTCAAAAAGCCTTGTAATTTTATCAAAATAATTGTTTCACCTTTTAAAAGCTCTGCAATTTTTCTACTCTTAAGAAAAAAGATAGTGTTTCACCATTTCTAATTTTTAGGAAGAGTTATCACGCAACTGTGGTAACTTAAAGTTGGCATTTAATCCTTTTGACTAAAAATTCAAACGTTTTTATTCTTTGAAGGGTTTTTTGATAAGGAAGGTTTGTTTAAAAGGAGTGTGTCTGTTTGTTTCAGTATTTGTTTTCTTGTGTGCGTTTGTGTCTGTGTCCGTGTTCGCGTATCTGTGTGTATTGTCGTTGTAAAGTTGCCAAAGTTAATGGAAAGAATGGCTGCCCTTAATGACCCAGTTTTGTTCTAATTTTTGTCCTTAACCTTAATTAGTGTAATTTTTAAGAGCGAATAACTTAGAACAGCGTTATAAACTTTAACAAATCTGGTAGTCCTAAGAGGCAAATCAATTTTTAAAAGAATATCAAATTTTCAAGGCTCACGCAGTATGTAAATCACCAAAACTCAACCAATAAACAATACGTACTCTGACCAGTGGCTTGAAATCAAAAAATAAGTTTCAGAAAAGGAGTCCACTGATTATCGCTCTTCCTCTTGACCACCCAGACAGACTCTGTTGAAGCGCATGAAACAAAGTAGAGTGAGGACGTGACGTTAGTGGACAAAAGGAAAAAGAGCGAGGGCAATAACTGTTTTCGTCTGGCAAGAATAGGAATTTGTATACGGGAGAGCAGTTAATTTGTCACAGAGATATTACACTTTGACCGTCGCGTAACCACGAGACACTTGTTGTTTAGAAAAAGATCATTTTTAAATAGTCAGTCAAACTGATGTTATGACAAAAGAAGGATCCGGGAAGTGACTAGACTGTGGGGGATTTTGGACCAAATTAAGACTTAAAATAGTAATAAAAGTGACAAGGCAAAACAACAAGACTTTCTTGGCAATGAACTTTTTGTAACTGCCTTTTTTCTGCGTAACGCAGTTTCGGTGGGTTTTTGTCATCTAACCTCTTTTCTTAATTTTACAGCCATTTGATACGATAACCGTAAAACAGCAAGCGGCAACGCTTCAGTCTAAAGCAAAAATTTTAACCGGTGAGTAATTTATTTATTATGATATCTCTGTTAAACTTACTTGTCAGATTTATTATTAATTTTGTATTCTAGTTTTCTTTTATGCTTTTTTTATTCTATGAACTATTTGTAGTCTACTGGGAATATCAGTACAGAAATTAGTGGCATTCTTGTATCAGTTCAGTACGTCTATGACTTATGGATTCATCGTTGTTTTATTAACTTCCTCTGGAAATAGGTCATTTTTTCTTTGTTATGTGGCCAGCCGGCACACACTAACTAAAGAAGATATATATTTTGATTTTTTAGATATTTTGTTTCATAATTGGTGTTTATTTCCTATTGTGGTTGTACAGTTTTTAATAGTATTAAGGAAGTTTTTTTGATTGATACATTGCAGTGCTCTTGCTTACCAAAAAAAAAGGTTTTGAACTAATTTTTATTTAAACTATACTGCAGTGATTCGTGTGATTCGTGTAAGGGTAAATGAAGATTTACTTCTTGCTTTATTTTAGTTTTGTTTAATCTATTATCGCTGATATTGGTTAAAGTCTATTTATATGACTGTTGTTTTGAATGATGAGTATATCTGTGTTGGGAAATACTTGAGCTTGAATATGTGTTAAATTTGTTTGCATTTTTGTAGAAGATGGACTTGGAAGGAGACTGAAAGATGAAGAGATGGGTTAGAAGAATTTAAACAGTTATAATGGTATCAGGTGTATCGAATTAGAAAGTTATTTCATCTGTTTTGTATTGGAATATTCGGTAGTTTACGTGTTTTTTCTTCTTGCGTTTGAACCACAAACCAGGATACAGAACAGTTCAGGTTTTTTTAAAACTCCTCATTGTTCTGGTCAGAAAATGATGTATTATAAAAGTCTGTTTCCTTGAAAAAAAAAAAAAAAAAAAACTACGCATTATTTAGTGGTTATTATTTACAAATAGCGACTTATGGAACTAAGTTTGCCCGCTATTTATTTCAATTTACTGCTGTTTTTATGCTGTAAAGTAGCTGTGTGGTGTAACACTATAACAGATAATATCTTTTTTATGAGCATAAAAGAAAAAGCTTTCTTTTCTAAAGTAAAAAAAAACGTTTTCTCTTCTTCTGAATAATGGTATGTATGCGTTTTATTTATGATTAATTTTGAAGCACAAATTTGAGTTAATTACCAGCAGCGGAAATCTGCATTAACGATGACTTTAACTGTTGGTGTTTACAGTATTTGTGGACAAATAAAATGCAAAAATTGTTCTCCTTGACCAGTGTTATAGCAGATTTTATATGATTGACCATAATTTGATGTGGAACACAGCAGGATAACGGAATTGAGGATTTAATAAAAACTTGCGTATCTTCTTTTTTTTCTTCTTCTTCTTCTATTTATTCTACGTTTAATACTTAAATGACATTTTTTTGTTCTATAATTTACAATTTTCCAGTTGCAAATCGGAACAAATTGGTAGCGAATCATTTGTGTATCAGCAAAGAAAGTAGGCTGAGTAAATTGTTGTTGTTGTTGTGTGTGTGTGTGTGTGCTATGGAAAATCGAATGATAACTTTAAAGGAGATGATTTATTTATTCAAAAACAAATGTGTCTGTAATTTGTGCAAAATGAAACGATTTTCATCTTCTTTTTTCTTGTTTCATTAATTTTTTATTCAAACTTTTCAACAATATTGGTTTTTTGTGAAAAAAAAAAAAA